TTGTTATTATTAGCAGTGGTAGTAGAAAACAAGCTACAGTACTCATCATCTGAAGTGGATCAAAACCTTTTGTCATAGCTTTGTAACCAAAAGCACTGACTGACCTGAGGAGGCAGGAACTGATGAGGCACTTGTGCTCGTATGCCAGGGGAGGGGTTTAATGGGTGCACACCGGCCTGATGCATCCCCCTCATTGGAGGAATCCCACCGCCAAACATACCATGACCTCCAACCTTAGAAACAGCAGAAGACAAGAGCAAAGAAGATTTATAAAATGCATAGTTCTGGTTCTTGATTCTGATTGGTCGATCAGTGTAAACTATCCTTTTGAATCCTGCTGTTGTTTCTTCTTGTAGACATTTCCTGCATTTGTGGCCACGCTATCTTTGTTATTATCTACAACCAGTGCTTAATTTGTTACCTTAGGATTCAGGCCCCGTTTACACTAGTGCGCTTTAGTTTTAAAACGGCGTTTTAGATAAAAACCGATCCGCGTCCACACTAGCGTTTCTGAACATATCTCCGTCCACACTACGCCACAAAAACGTATATCACGAGACCATTCGCGCACTCTGGGCATGCGTGTTCTAGTATAAACAGGAAGCATGTGTCTCGCTCTGCATTTGGTTATTGTTAGTCAACAAACACCGGTTGAACAATGAACGCGAAGGCAAAGAAAGCAAGAGAGGTCTTTTTGTGGACAGACGACGAGGTCGAGTTGTTACTAAACGTAACAAATGAATAACTGCACAATGGCGCCTAAAACAGACAATAGTGCAAACAACGCTCCCATTTCTGTGTCCATGTTGTTGTTTACAGTGAAGGCTGGTCTGCTGTCTTCCGGTAGCGTTAAAGCCATGTGTTATAGTCATGTGATAGGGGCTTGACAAATAAGGGAAGGATACGCAATGACACAAAAGCCCCAATCAGCTAGCGAATCTCAGCAGCCCCGCCTCCGTTTCAGATTTCTCCGTTTTCCCTCATCCACACTGAAACGGAGCAGCAGCGTTTTAGAATGAAAACAGCCTCTCCAGCGTTTCCAAAACCCTCCATATTCAGCAATCAAAAACTCTGGCGTAGTGTGGACAGATGGCGTAACCGTAGCAAAACTTTTGCATTTTCAAACTAAAACACATTAGTGTAAACGGGGCCTTATGCTGCGTTCAAACCAGACGCGGAACGCGTGTCAAGCGCGAGTGATTTACATGTTAAGTCAATGCAAACGCGTAAATAGATATCCTGCGGCGCGATACACGCGAATGGCGCGGTGCGAATAGCGGGATACGTACGAATGGCGCGGGATTTGAATTTAGCTTAACGTGCGTTTCGCGCGAATCTCGAGTTCGAAAATCTGAACTTCAGCAGACAATCACGCCGCGTTAACCAATCAGAAGCTTCCTCTTGTGGATGCGTGATTGCGACATAGAACCTGTTGATGGTGTCCTGGGGGAAATCCTCCAGGCGACACCGACAACAAGTCATCAAACTGGGCTTGGCTCAGTCAGAAGCACGCTGTTTTTCAGCCTTCATAAAGTACATAACCCTGTTATTTTCTCAATAAAATCCATTTAGCAACGAAGCTACAGTCACCGGGCAGACAGAAGCCCAGCCCATCACGCGAATCCGCATCTGTTCTGAAGTGAATTTGACATGCGAATGAAGCGGATTTGACGCGCGAATGAAGCGAGTAAACTCAAATGTTCACGTGGCTATTTACGCGCGAATATCGCGATTTATCCGCGCGTTCCACGTCTGGTGTGAACACAGCATTAGAGGGGTCAAGGACGAAAGTGAAAGTAAACAGCGGATGGGGGAAGAGGGCGAATGAGGAGGGGGATAGGGAAGGGGCCGATCACACCGAACGCGGTTTATGCGTTGAGAGGCGCCTCTTTTTAATGGTTTACTAGCGGCCGCGAGCGTTTTGCGCGCCTCGCATTTAAACTGCCTGCTGCGCCTCTCGTTTTTGCCCTTGCATGTCGTGCACTCTCAGTTGAAAAAAAGTCAACTCTAAGGGAAAAAAACGTTACGTCACTCGTGTCTTTTTCATTTTCCAATTAGGAAAGCAGAGGCGGGGTTTCCATTGAGGTGCCTGTGAGACTTTCGAAATTGGAGGAGACTCTTGTGGTTGCTGTTTTGGGTTATCCAGAGCTGTATGACAAATCATGAATATCACAATATTATTAACTATTAAAATAATAATAACATCAACAGCAACACTCTCGAACAATACCTAGCCGATTCAGTTGTTGCCTAGCGACATAAAAAAGTGCATCGCTCTCCTTTTTTTCCTGTCGACAAACAAGTGTGTTTTTGGAAGGCCCTTGCAATCGGTGTAATCGGCCCCTTAAATTAGGTGCCGGATAAGATTTCAGAGGTGCCTGATCCGGACCCGCCGTGTTCCGGCACAAATCAAGCCCCGTCTACAACTCTTTGCCCTTGTGGAAAAATATAAATTTCTATCATCTAATTCCAAATGAACAATAATCTACGTATAACTGAAAAGTTATATTCTTTGGTTTTTAATTATATCATTTCATTGACATGCCAGCTAGGAGGGACATTTAACCTTTGCCTTGCTGACTACAGGCTAAGCCAAAGTGATGTAATTATCGGTTTCACAGCATGGCTGTATCTATTGTCTTCCCTGTCTCCAGAACATCATTTGCACATTGTTGTAATGATGTACTTATATACTGATGAGATCAGACCTGGAGAAGGCATGGCACCCTGCAGACGACCAGATTTCATTTGCATGCTTTGTTTGACTGTCCCCACCATGACTGACCCCACCTACAGGCTGTAAAATGTATAAATTGTATAATGTTTGCTGTGGAGTTGAGAGTTTGCTTTCGATGACGCCACAGCCACACTGAGTTCTTCTTATTCAAAAGGATTCTGCTTTGAAGACAACCGAAAGATTCTCCCTGGTTTTTTGGGCTCTTAGATGTTTACAACACCCTTCAGTGAGTTTGTCAGTACCTTGTCCAGGTAGGGTCCACTCTCTCCACAGCCCGTCTCTTTGGCAGTCTGCGAGCGGAAAGCTCCTCCAGTCCTGCCTCCTCTCCGCATCTCTCCATCACTCATGCCTCTCCTGTCATGTCTATTATCGTGACCCATGCTGGAGTCGTCATCCTGACAGAAACAAACAGCATATTTCCTCAGATCAGCAGCCACACAGCACAGCAGCTCAGCACGGTGACGATCAGTGCTGGATCATGCATTAATTAAGTTTTGTGAGTAAAAAGTTATCTGATTACATTTTACTTTTGTGGATTTGGGCTTAAGAACATGAGAATAAATGAATGGGAGTAAACGAATGGTGATGATTGTAATGCTTGACTGCTTGAATAAATGTTCCCAGCACTGGTGCTAACGACTGTCTTACCGTAACGCCCATGTTTGAGAACTGCCGAGATACAGGAGAAACCCACGAGTCTCCACTGTTACCTTTAAGAGGGCTCTGAGAAAAAACAAATCAAGGTGTTACATAGGACTCAAGTCTGAAATCTGCAGCTATGATTGTCTCCCGGCACACCTTAGAGCTGAGCCTCCTGGACCCCTGGCTTTGGCCCCAGCCGCCGGAGCTGTATGAGCTGGACATGTTGCTCTGGGACCCCCGACCGCCCCAGACTCCTCCATCCTCCTCCTCCCAGCTGGAGTGTCGGGAGGAATTCGAGCCTTCGTCACCCCAGCCCTCTTGCATAGACTTAGAACCTAGAGAGTCAATATCAAGATCAGCTTTAATGGCACATTCGAAATGAACACATGTATCCATGAAAAGAACTGGGCTCGGCTGCATGAACGTCCTTAAACAATTTAACTTAAAGGTGGAAAAAGTCCCGGAGGTAAGAGATTTCATTAAGAGCACTGCACCAAACTGCTTAACTCTCATCCTAACCCAAATGCCTTTTCTAAGTGCCTCACTGGAGTTTCTGGCAACATATGCTAACAAGCGTCGTTGTTATAGTTGCATAAGCAGATTGTAACAAACAATGAAAGCTGTGCAATACACAAAATCTATGCCATTTTCTCTCTGTTAAGCAAGTCGAGATGTTCACTTATCGAGTTGCTATTGACATTATGCATGCGTGTATAACACTCGACACGCAGGTTGAGTTTCTGGAGGAGTTGAAGAGCCCACAGAGCTAGGAGCACCTCTGAAAAATCTAGTTGACTCAGACACGGCTTCAAATGAATTGATGCTGTTTTTCAGCCTTCCTAAAGCACATAAACACAGCTACTCTCTCTATAAAATCTATGTTCCCCATTTAGCAATGAAGCTAGAGTCACGGGGCAGACAGAAGCCCTGCCCATCACGCAAATCCGTGTCTGTTGTGAAGTGACACGCGAAAGAAGCGAGTAAACTCAAAACGTTCATGTGTCTATTTGCGCGCGAATTGCACATTTTATCCGCGCTTGCCTCGTCTGGTGTGAACACAGCAAAGAACTTTGTAGTTTAGCATAAACTTTAGCATACAACCATACATTGCATAATCAAAAATATATCAAGTGTAATACCTTAAAAAATAGCATTTAAGACTTTTTAAGGGCCTTAAATTTCTCTATATTGACCTATCAACTTTTAATACTTTTTAGGACCCCGCAGACACCCTGATGCATGATTTTTCTCCATCTAATAGACTTCTATGGTGCTCAGAGGTTTAATTTTTTTTTAAATTGCAGTTTCAAAGGGCTCTAAATGACCACAGGTTAGGATTAAGTGTCTTTCTAGCAAAACGATGCTAAACGAAGCTAATTTTCTTGAAATTGCATACACTTTTTATGATTCACTGCAGCTTGAAAGATCAATTCATCGAGCATAAACATCTACAACATGCTGAAAATCCCAATAAATGATTTCTTTACAACTGAAGAAAGAAACTAACATCCTGCATGGCAAGGTTGACTAAATGATCAGGACCTCTTCATTCTTAGATGTGCACTAATCCTTTAATAAATCATAAAGGCAATCTTTTCACCAAGAATACTAAACAATTAGGATGTTATGTTATATTGTGTAATGAGCATGTATACTTGGACAAGCTCTTACCAGTCTTATTAGGATGGGAATGCGAGTTTCCCCATCCGCCTTTCCCAGGTTCACTGGATTCCCCCCAGCCAGATGACCCATCGAATGGTTTAACCCAGGGAGCAGGACCGCTTTCCATGGACGAGTCGGAGGGGCCACTGCTGCGTGTCCATATTGCAGGACCTATAATGTGTACATGAATGAAAGGAAATGGTTCGGCTGCTTCTGTATATACTATTGCATAATATACAATATTTTCTGGAATTTATTACAATAGGAATATCACTGACCATATATTATAAATATCCAGGGAGAGAAATAAAGTCCTGTCTCCTTAGAGAACAGCTTTTACTTATTTTAGAAACAAACGTGCTGTGACCACATGCAATGTCCATTCATACTGGATGCTAGAGGGCGCCGTTGCACATTAACATCACAATGGCATTACTAAAGTAAAAATATCAACTATAAAGATATTATTGCATATTACTACTATATTACTGCAAGTTTGTTATTCTGTTTTTGGTATTTTGTAGTCTTTTCGAGTTCTAGAAAAAGCTAATTCTAAATAAAATGCATTATTATTATCCCTATAGCTGAAAAAAAATCAAGATAGAAACGGATAAACTGATCAAACAATAAACAAACAACTGTGGCAATATATGCACTGTTTAACTGGAAAAGGAATAGTTCACTCAAAATAATCCATTTACTCACTATTTTCTCACCCTCCAGCGGATCTAAACTTTGAGTTTCTTACTTCTGTTGGTTACAAATGAAGATCATTTGAAGATGAAAACCTGCAACCTTTAATCTCCATAGTCGGAAAAACAAATACTATGGAAGTCAATGGCTGCAAGTTTCTTCTGCTTAAAATAAAAGAAGCTTCTAGGTTTGAAACAAGTAAAGAATGAGCAAATGATGACAGAACTTTCATTTTTGGGTGAACTATCCCTTAAGTCAGTGTTTCTCAACCATGTTTCTGGAGGACCACCAGCACTGCAAGTTGTGGATGTCTCCTTCATAGGTTAAAGACTATTATACAGGTCTTCCAATCTCTGCTGAGCTGATTAACTTAATCAGGTGTGTTTGATTATTAATTCATTCATTTTCTTGTCGGCTTAATCCCTTTATTAATTCAGTGTCGCCACAGCAGAATGAACCGCCAACTTATCCAGCAAGTTTTTTATGCAGCGGATGCCCTTCCATCCGCAACCCATCTCTGGGAAACATCCACACACACTCATACACTACGGACAATTTAGCCTACCCAATTCACCTGTACCGCATGTCTTTGGACTGTGGGGGAAACCGAAGCACCCGGAGGAAACCCTCACGAAGGCAGGGAGAACATGCAAACTCCACACAGAAATGCCAGCTGAGCCGAGGTTCAAACCAGCGACCTTCTTGCTGTGAGGCGACAGCACTACCTACTGCGCCACTGCCTCGACCGGTGTTTGGTTAAGGAGACATGGTAAATGTGCAGAGCTGGTGGTCCTCCAGGAACATGGTGGTTGAAAAACACTGCTTTTAGTCACTCTGGGTATTTTTACAACACCCCTTCTGCACACTTACCAGAGTTTTTAGATGGAGTTCCAGCCGGTCTTCCAGAGGACTGCTGTTGGGGCTGCGAGCTGTTCTTATCCCACAGATTGACGTTCTTGCTGCTGTATCGTGACGGATCCCCCCATGCAGAGGTGCCGTCGTCAATGTCCATCTTCCGACTGATGGACTGAGGCGAGGGCTCATCCCACCCGCTCGGCTCACCAGCTGAAGCAATCTGAGGGATGGGCCCACAGCTCCACCCCGAGCCTTTACTCTGCTCATCGTTCTCTCCTGTACGACCACGGTCCTGTACGACTTTTGGATATCCCGGCATCTGCTGCTGGGTTTGCGATTGCTGCTGCGGTTGTTGATTTTGGGTTTTAAGTGCTGCTTGTTTGTTTGGTATCTGTGATGGAAGAAGTTTCTCGCCCCATCCCTGGTGGGTTTTACAATCCCAGCCACCACTCCGCGGTCCCGAATCTTCAGGGCTGCCCCACAATCCTTCATTCTGATTCGTGCCTTTCTCTTCCTTCCAGCCTCCAGCTTCAGGCACTGGGGTCCACTCTTTTCCGCCACCTTGGCTCCAACCTGTTCCTTCCCTCCTAGATGCACCTTCTTGGTCTTCCCCCCAGCCACCCGCTTTGTGACCAGTCCCGATGCTCATTTCTCCACGCTCGGTCCACCCTTGAGCCCTACCCATGTGCCCAACCTCCTGCTTCTGCATTTTAGAGTTGGAAAGATCACCCGCTTCCTGCCAGCCTTCCTTACTGCGTTCGGTGTTCACCTCCGCATCCCAGCCAACATTGCCCACATCTGCCTCAAAATCCCACGCAACGTTCTGCTTGATCTGAGTCTTGCCCCATCCGGTGTTGCACAGCACTTTGGGATCCAGGTTAGTGTGATTGATCATGCTCTGTAAGGCTTCTTCTGGGTGACATTTGGAGGGGCTTTGGACCAGATTTTGAGCATCCTCACTGCTAGCCGATTTACCCTTGGACCCATCGCAAGCATCAGCTACTTTCTGATTGTCGTCTCCTGAAGCCACATTGTTTCCAAACACTGGAGATTTGTGTAAACTTTCTGCGCTTACCTCCTCGCTCATATCCTCTTTTGATTTACCAACTGCAAAGTCTGAGGTCTGTCCTGTAGCTGCCTGTTTGTATGAACCTACCGCATCTCCATCCCACACTCCCTGAGAGGTGCCATCTCCACTACTTCCACCATTGCTCTTCACAGCAGGATTCTCTATGGTACCCCACAAATCCATGCTGGAAGCTGCACCACCATTTGGTCCAGGCTTTGCCCAATCTCCTGTAACAGGCTCTTCTCTTTTGAGGAGTGTCTGGTAGAGTGGATGGGCTGGACTCAAGGGTGTGGGAGAAGACTCCTCAGAGGCAGTGTTGGTTGAGAGATCTCCAACAGGGGTATAATTTGGGTTTAGACCTTGAGTGTCCTCCTGATCTCCAGAAAGCGGAGAGACCTTGGAGCTAAAGTTCTGAATCACTCCTTTAATGCTTTCTTTATTCTCAGACTGTGAAGATGCACTGTCTTCGGCATGTTCAGAGAGTTTAGAAGAACTGTCCATTTGCAGGTCAGCGGACTCATCCATCCCCAACCTGGCAGAATGTAGGGTCTGGTCACTATTCCATGAGTCTTCTGGTCTTGGCCATTTCTCTACATCAGAACTGTCCTTGTCCATTCCCTGAGACGAGGCTTGACCTCCTGAGCCCCGCCCCCATGTGTAATTTGCATAAGTGGGAGTGGCGGAGGCGTCAGATGATGAGTGCAGAGAAACTGAATCTACCGTAGAATCTGGGGGAGAGAGAAAAACACCTTATCAGGTAAGAGGAAACCCATGAAAACATTCAGTGACTAATTCACTGCTTAATGTAAACGAAACGTAAATGTATTCTGCTTTTGTGGGTGACACACCTGAGGCGTCAGAGTGCTCCTGCAGGGGAAGTCGGGGCGAGGCGTCCCCTCCACTTGCGCCTCCCAGCAGCATGCAGGACAGTGGCGGCTGGCCCCTTTTCAGTAGCACTTTGGGTTCCTGCTGGTTGCGGAAGCGCGGCGGCACCTCACGGGGCATGTATCGCGGCGGCACCGTGGAGGGGGGCTGTCCGTCGGCCACAGCGCTCCAATTGGCATCCTTCCCTCCCTCAGGGGCCTCCGACCAACCCCCGAAAACAGGACAGGGGGAGGCTGATTCTGTAGTACGAGATGAGGAGAGGATGGTTATGAGCTTGAATCTGACAGAAGCAGAGTTTGAGAAATACAGTTAATAAAGCAGCAGAGTGTTTCTTAAAATGAGTTTGTTAAATCCAGGGCCTGTACCATGAACCCAGATTAGACAGTAGAAAGTAGAAAAAAGCAGCACAATCACTACCAGACTGCTGTTGTGTTTGCGATAAGGAAAAACGCTAAACACATGCGGACTTTGCTTCTGATTTCTGCCAACACAACACACATTCCTGATATGCAAGCAAATTGCTATAAATACAGCACTACAACATACAAAACGGAGAGATCGACTTAGAATTTCAATTACCAGCATACCTGCCAACATGTCTCAGAAAACCCGGGAGACCGGTGGGAGGGGGTTTTCGGAAATGAGGTCTTTAAATAACACTGTTGAGAACCGGGATAGGATGCAGCGGGTTTTAGGCAGCCGCTGCGATCGGGTACTTTGATAAAAGTGTACACCCGGGGGTGTTTACAGACTGTACCAAAGAGGGGCGGGTAAAATTCCGGAAGTTTTCCGGAAGAAATAAAAAAAATGAGATGGTTGCAGGAGATTGGTCTGAAATATGGGATACTCTTAGGAAAAACGGGAGTGTTGGCAGGTATGCTCACCAGTTTAATAATGATTTGGTCAGTTAGAAATCAGACTGTTATAAGCAGGGCTTTACATTAACACCCGCCAAATTCGGGTAGATTTCAGCTTTGGTGGGTTAGACAGCTGCTACCACTAGCCACTTTGGCTGGTTGAAAATAATTTATAATTTGTAGTTTTCTTAAAGCAGGGTTCGACAATAAGGATAACCCAATATGCATGCAAATGTGATCTTAGAATCGAGAAGCAGCACGACTGACGAAAATAATTGTTTTCGCGCGAGCAGAAGAAAGCAGGTTAATACCAAATGAGAGGATGATCAGTCGCGCAAACAGCTAATGTAATGTGCGCGACTGTTTAAAAAGCTTGCGCGCTCCCATTTCCTTTCATGAAGCAAACGTGTCTGGAAACGCAATTGTGATCAGTTCCCTTTCAAATAGACAAGGCAAAAATTGATGCTAATGCACCCAAAATTTTGCTGCTTTCAAGAGCTCCAAATATGTCTTTTTGTAAGCAGCACCTGTTGCTTTCACTTTGAACAGATCATTAATGGGTTAACCCGTGATCATCCTTTCATTATCACACACGGTATGTTATTCACCTGTTTTCATTTGCTTATGCTTTTATTTGCTTTAATTTTTTGTTAATTTTAGCTTTTAATTTCTAACTCTAACCTTTTAGCTAGAACAGACTACTGTGCATAGTTTTAGATGCATGACAATCATTATTTTAAAAAGTCAATTGTTTTTCTTTGTTTTTTTTAATGTTTTGTTAAATAAAAAGTAAAGAATACAGCTATATTTAGCTTGTTTTGACACATTTAAAATTTGTGGCTGAGAAACAAACATTGTTTGGTATGGTCAGAGATAAATTTGGTAAACCCTTAATTTTGAGCTCTGAAAAGTCATGTGAAATAAAAACTAATTGCAATATAACACTATGAAACCATGACCCATTTGCTGAATACACATTGAGTAAACTCATACACGACACACAAAAAGTAAAATAAATGAGGCATGTGGAGATAACACAAAATTTAAACCAAGTAATTTTAGCATGTCGAAGTCAAATTCATGCATATAAAATATATTTTTCCAACAACAAAATTATGGCTACTGAAAAAGGCAAGTGGCTAGTAATGTTGGAAAACTACTAGCCACAGTGGCCGGTGATCAAAGAAGTTAATGTCAAGCCCTGGTTATAAGCTTCTAAAGGCTGATTTATACTTCTGCGTCAAACACCGGCGTATGCTACGGCGCTGATGCATAGCCCTTCGCCGTGGCCATCGGTCACTGACGTGCACCTCTCAAAAAATGTAACTACACGTCGCAACAACGCGTAGCGCAAGCTCTGTGATTGGTCGGCTTGGTATCGCTGACGAGTCTGGGCGGGACCGAGAGCCGCGCGAATGGCGCGAGCGATTGTTTACAAGTGTGGAGTCCCGTGAAGGAGCTCCGGATGGAAAGTTTTGTTTTGTGTTTACCTCATAGTTAAAGTTGTTGCACGTCCGCCGGTTCCTGCCTCAAAATGAGCGAGTTTGAGTCACTTGTACAACCAGGAAGTGTTCAGGAAAAGCAAAACAGCAGCGAAGAAACTCGACACAGAGGAACATTTACACCTCACTGCCCACTAGCGTTTCGGAAGTGTTAATGCAGTCCAACAGAGACCGTGCGCAGAAGTATAAATGCACAGCTGCACGCGTTGCCTGCGCCGTGAGTTACGTCGGTCACTTGACGCAGAAGTATAAATCAGGCTTAAGCGTTAGGGCTTATTATGCGGTTCTGGTGCCATCTTGTGAATAGAAAACATAAACCCTCTTTGGTCTACACTATGGCAGGCTAATGGCCGCTGACGAGCTCGCTCAGAAATTGTAAATACTTGAAAATAGGCAATATTCTTATAAATAAACTGCATAGTTGCAATCTAAACAACTACATTCTCCACTCAAAAGCTTCAAGAGTACATTATGTTGTCTAACAGCAGTAATATTTGTCAAACTGTAGAGTGCCCCAGCTTGTTGCTGACTGAATGTGGGCGGAGTAATACACAGAGGTGAAGGGTGAAGAGGCCTTTGTGTGAAGTAACTGCCATAATATCGCACAGCTATCAGCCAATCAGATTCAAGAACCAGACAGAACTGATGTATAAGCAGCAATAAATAACACGTTTCCATGTGATTTGCTAAACCAGTGGTGTTTTGAAATGAATGAACGCATAATAATCTTGATTATTCCTCAGACTATAATCGTACAACCATAATCTATAACCATCCCTGTTTGTAAGTGGCTTTTAAGCATATGCGAAATGACTAAATGCAAATATAACTGGCACACTAAAGAAACATTCCTCTATAACAGCTTCTGCCCTAAACATGGTCCAATCTGAAATGAGCATGCTTCAGTGTATGTAATTGTATGTTTTGGTTGTGTGTCTTTTTGTCATGTCTTTATTGGACCCTTATAAAAATTACATTGCATCTCAAGAGGTAATCCTTTAAATAAATTGACATTGCACAGAACTGCTTACCCAAATACTATTTTAAAGTTAGGATCTCTCTGTAATACACCCCTATGATAACATATAAGAGGATTACGTAAAACACTAACCTCTTGTGCTGTCTTCAGCGCCCTGTAATAAAATCAAACGGCTCATCAGATGTTTGTTCATGTATATCCAGGTAATATATGTGTGTATTGTTAAATCGAGCCTCTCATACCTCCTGATGACCGCTGTCTCCTGTCTTACATTGACTGTCTTCCATGAACTGCTGCTCCCTTCCTGTTCAATTCAATTCAAAGTTTACATGTGAAGCACTTTTCACAACAAGCATGCTTCCAATAGAGCTTACCAAAAAAGTCAATGATATTGAAAAAACAAGATGCAGAAAAAGAAACACACACACAGTTAATCTGCAGCTACACAACATGAAATGAAATTATTTGTCCTTCTGTGAAATCAATTACTTTTAATTAGCGCTGTTTAACAGATTTACCACATCTGATTTCTGTTGTCTTTAACATGATTACAGCATATAATATTTGACTACTTAGTTTGCAAGACACTAGTAGACACACAGTAGACAGAATCGTTACCGGCCGATCGCCTGCTACTATTTGTCAATTGCGCGCAAATACAGTCTTAGAATCGAGAAACTATTTGTTCTTTTAAGTCTTTGAATGCTGCCTTCTCTGTGAAGTCGTAAACATCATATTGCTTTTCGTTTTCTTATATCTGATTGGATGTTGTGAGCACGTTATTTTTTTTCCATAACCTGGTAAAAACAAGTACAGCAAAAAGATGGCAACCTGACGTCACATCAAAATATGAGGCTAACAGAAAACGTCTGTTGATATGGGTACAAGACGATGAGGGTTACAAAAATGAAGTGATGTTTTGCTTGGTTTGCCGTCACTTTTAAGTAATAAAATACATGCACATTTTCCATACTGCTATTTTTTACTGCTAAATATTTTAACATTTCTAAAATATTTAAATTCTAGATTCACAGAAATAATTTTTGACACATTATTTAAAATATGTGGCTAAGAAATAAATAAATAAATATATATATATATATATATATATATATATATATATATATATATATATATATATATATTTTTTTTTTTTTTTTTTTAAGGGGGCTAATAATATTGATCACAGCAGTTTTTAAATATTTACATATTTTGTAAGACTTTCTGCAGGTGAAAAACATAAAAGAAAATACAGAATTTTGAAAAAAAGGACCTAATAATTTTGTCTTCGACTGTACTTTTTCCAAGACATTCAATTCAAGAGATCTAAACATGACTATAATTACGGAAATAATTTTGTGTATTGGTTATTTGGAATATACATTTCTAGTTTTTATTAAATCACAGTAGCTATGTTTCTATCCAAAAATTGTGAATTAATGCTTAAAACTGCATTATCACATAAAAGACATAAGAATAAAGCAGCGTTTCCATCCAACGAGTCAAAGAAAACGAACAATTATCAACAGAAAAAACAGAATGTACTGTGGTAGGAGAAGCTGCTTGAATCTTTTATATAATAAATGACTTGCGCCTCAGAAGGCAATCCTGACACGCAGTGAATGTGCGTGGAGTTTGAAGGCATGAGACGGAGCACAGACGCTCTTGACAGTTCTGGAACTGATTAATAATATAATAACACTAATACTGAAACACTTAGGCTGCTTTCACAACTGTGAATCGATTCAGTTGTTCCGAAACAGAGATTACAATTGTTACATTGTTGCTCTTTGCTCTTGGAGCGGTTCGCTTTCACACTGCAAAGTTTCTAATCGGACCAAAAGAGCTAAAAGAAGTCACGTGTGAGTAAACTCTCCTCACATTGGTCAGAGTGTCAGGGTTTATTTTGCAGCGTCCCGCTCAGCTGTCAGGAGAGGTGGTGGTTTGGTGGTGATTGACAGGGTGCACGCGTGATGTGTCTGAGGAGAGACGCGGTGGGGAGGGGTGAGAAAGGTGCGCGACGATGCCTATTTGAGGACCGGGAGGGAGACGCGAGATTACCGGGAGATTATCACTCGTTTGCGGGCATCCGGAGACTCGCGAAACTTCCTGCCATACTCATAATTCTCTCTCCATATAGCCGTATGCCTATTACATATCCATAAAACACTATGATATAACCGCGCTCGGATCGGATCGCTTTCTCACTGCAATCGAACCGCTTGAGGGTTCGTTTCAATCGAGCCGAGACCACCTCATTCAAGCGATCTCGGAGCGATTACTTTGGCGTGGAACAGAGCGCGATTGCCCTGTTCACATATGCCAAACGAACCACGCTAACTGGGCAAACGAGACACGTTCCGTAACAAAAGTATAGGTGTGAAAGCAACCTAAAAGGTGCAGTAGGTGATTGTCTTCAGAAACATGTGTTGTTGTGCTGGTTGAAAGTCTCTTCACAGTCCAATAGTAATGATTACAGTAAATGATCTAAATGTGTTTATATGCAATTTTATATTCAGGGAAAACCATAAAACAAAAAATTGTTCATTCAATTAAATATTGGCGGACCAACATTTCTCATAATCGCTGGTTTCTGTATCCAGAAGTATCGCTGTAACACGGCTGCGAGGAGAGGAAAAGTCACACCAGCAGGTCAAATAGGCCAACAGTGAGTGAGAGAGAGAGAGAGAGAGAAATGGAGAGTACTTTCATTCTCTCAATTGCAATGAAATAGGGGCTTCTGCTGTGTGTCAGTGAAAGACTTTCCAGCAAACACACACAGTGAAATTGTGCACGGTTTCTCTGCATTTTGAAGTAGTTGGAGCGTTGTAAATACTCGCACTCGCCCCGCGCATCATAGTAAATTACGGAGACATAGCGCAAATGAGATAAATGACGTCAGTGCACAATAACCGGTTATGATTATTACTGAACCCATACTGAATTGTCCGCGTCTGCATCACGGTGCACCGAAGAAACAATTAATTTTGACACCCCTAATTTCAGAGCAGTAATCATAACACAGTGATACTGTGAAACCGTGATATTTTTATCCAAGGTTATCATACCGTCAGAATCTGATACAGGCCCATGCCTAGTTGCACACCTGCGCACCTCTCAAACAATGTAACAACACGTCACATGTCTGCACTACATTGACGATGACTGGAAGCTGTGCTTTGAGATGGCTTATTTTCTATTACAGTAAAATGATTATTTGGATTAAAATATTTGTTTACAGAAGATGTAAGAAATGCAATGTTCAAGACGTTATTCACAGGATATAAAAGTTATTTTAGGAGTTATTTTACTTTTTACTACTTTTTACTTTTTTCAGCATTTAGTATAAAAACTTATTTAATTAGTATAAAATAATTAACTTTGTTTCCAAAAGTGCATTTTTTTTTTTTTTTTTTTTAAGAAAAACAAGTGACTGCTCGCTTTAGGTTATGTGTGTTTTAATTTCAGTCGCTCAATGTTGATGTTATTATTTTTTATTACATATTTATTGGCACATCAGCAACTTATGGCTATTTCGTGGCCAAATGGATATACATTAAAATATTGCATAATAAAAACAAATTCGTATTACACTAAAAAAGTCGGAATGTGCAAATACAAAATATACATATATAAATACAAATATATAAAATACAAATATATAAAATTCATACAACAATTTATTCAAAGTTCATAATGATTTTTCTGTTCTATTTTTTCTATTTAAAAAAAAGTAAAACTCTTCCTCGTGGTATGTTTTTAAATATTTCCTCAATGTTGATGTTCAATAAAAAGTTAATAGATAGATCAATAGATGCGTAGATAGTGTGTTTCCTTCAATTATTTTAAAATCAAGCAATGCACCCTTTATTCAAACATCTCCCACTTGTAATATGCGAGCATATTTATTGTACAAAACCTGTCAGAAAACTATAAGGGCAAAAAATAAAATAAATAAATAATCGTTCATTAATCATAACTTAATTAATATGTTTAATTAATCAAGATTTGATTTTAGACCAAATCCCCCAGCCTTATGCTGGAGCATTTATTAGAAAAAGTGGGTCCAGATGTCCTAAATTTTCTTTCACAATAAACATTTTCATTGAGGTAAATTGGATTTTATATTCGCACATTCGATCAGTAACGACTTGTGACGGAGTCCCTATATTCTTTACGCTACTTTGAATATTGGGTCTGAAATCACATGCAAGTAAGACTTGATAACTATATAAATGACCGTGAACAGTGTTTTACAGTCCGTGAACAGTGTTTTACAGTCCGTGAACAGTGTTTTACAGTCTGTGAACAGTGTTTTGATATTCATAGGCTACTAATATGATTTCACTATTTACAATTGGCAAAGAATATTTTTGTGAAATTATATTTTTAAGGATAAAGTCGGAATGTGCGGATATTAAGCCAACTACACACCAATAACATTTTTTTTGCCAGGCTCCTTTGTTTATATTAAGTAATTTAACTTTTTTAGTTAAAAAAAAAAAGTTGCCTATAAATTAAATTACTGAACATAAACTAGGCATAAGAGTCTGACGGTATGATAACCTTAGATTAAAATATCACCGTTTCACGGTAATGTGATCACTGCTCTAAAATAAGTTATTTTTTTTAATGTCTGGGTAAAAAACAAAAACTTTTCCCCCTTTGGACACAATATATTTTATTTTGATAAACATTTTTAATATTTTGGGGCAGTAATCATGTCAGGCTAAATAATTTAAATAAATTATTGACTTCTGCTGTCTTCATTAGTATCAAAAACACTGATTTCTTTACAATTTACAAGACCTATTTAGATATCTATTTTGCTGGAGATACTGTTGTCCTAAAAAAACAAAAACGAGAATATCAAATATAATATAATATATAATCTTATATATAATATAAGAATATAATCTTACAAATACCTTAGGAACAGGTATTTTGGCGGCTTTAAAACCTTGACTTTTCTAAACCGCAGTATACTCAGAAAACGCTTATGGTCCCACGCCTAACAAAAACACAGGAGACTGACAAATTGCTCATTGTAGAAGAAAATTTCAGATGCTTTTGCATCTCAATTCTTTAAACACTAAACCCAGCATTACACATATTAATATAGTGTGGTTTAAGTTATATAAAATAGGTTAAAAACAGACTCTACATCAATTGCACCAACAATAAATCAGCCAAGTCCTGTAAATATTTCACTCTAATCTGTTTTGTTGTTAACAAGAAACAAACAACCCCTGCACAGCATTACTGCCATTATTCAGATGCTTTCACAAACACACTCGCAAACACACAACACGCTAGTGAATGATGTCTATATTATGCTCTCAGATATTTGATTTACATCAAACAACAACGTTTCAATTGAAATACAACTCGACTCATCGGCGAATTCTGCCATACAGCCGTATTATTTACCTTTCAGCACAAACTTATCAAGCTAACATGCTAACCGTGGCGCATTTACTCACAAACATCTAAACGCACCAACAATAATCCATTAATCGCACTTAAAGATGATAAATTAGAGTTATTTGAATCATTTCGGCCCGCATAAGTATAACACACCTTTTATAAATGTATGTATTTAGCGGATTCCGATTGTAAACAAATGAAGAGATCAAAACTAAAGTCAGCACTGACAAAAACGCTCGCGGACTGTTCAAGACAGCCTCCAAACGTGAATCTAACATGTTATTACACACATTAATGCTGCTGTTGTGCGGTTAGACTGCCGTATTTTAAGTTTGTTTGTTCGTGTTTGGGTTTGTTTTGCTCACCTCAGTCAGTCCGGCCTGCAGCTGCGCACTAACGACGCGCTGATCAACATCCGGGTCCCTCTCGTGTCTCGTCCCTCTCACACACTCACTCGGTCATCTTTTGTGGAAATGTTCCCCAAAGTCAAAAATGTCAGCAATTAGTGTCACTATTATTGTGTGGATGTGGTAAACAGCCCACAAAAACCTCACAATCCTTAAAAATGCTTGACTGCTTTAGTATTAATCTCTTTTATTATCGATGTGATTATTTTTACAGTCTGCTTACGGCTCTTGTTAGTTGCACTAATGTACACTGACCACCAGAGAGCGCTGTGACTACGTTTGATAATAAAAAGGTTTCCTCTGTATTTCCGTATTTAAATCTCATATTTTGGACTGGTGATACAAAATCCAAGGCGTAAATTGCCTGATTTAACAACTTAAACTTGCCTAAAAATGCCAAATGGATTTAAGAAATCACGTAGGCTACTGTGTGATTCATAATCATGTCATATCCTTGCTGAAAAATCCAGTTTAAACCAGCCTAGGATGGTTTGCTGGTTTTAGCTGGTCGACCAACCTGGTTTTAGATGGGTTTTGGCCATTTCCAGGCTGGTCTTAGTTGGTCAAGCTGGGAGATGACCAGCTAAAACCAGCTTGACCACCCTAGCCAGGCTAAGAACCCAGCAAAACCAGGCTGGTCAAATTGGTTTTAGCTGGTCATCTCCCAGCCTGACCAGCTAAGACCAGCCTGGAAATGGCCAAAACCCCTCTAAAACCAGGCTGGTCAACCAGCTAAAACCAGCTTGGGCTGGTTTAAGCTGTATTTTTCAGCAGGGATATCAGTTGCAGATAACGTTAGACATGACAGGCCCGTAGCCAGTCTAACATTATGAGGCTGCAGGCCCGGAGACCCAACCGCAAGCTCAGACGGCTAGACCTGCACTTCCAGATCTATCGTTTTCTCAGACAGTGCCACCTGCTGTTTGAAAGACCCAGAGGTAGGGAACCTATGGCTCAGGAGCGCCATGTGGCTCTTTGACCAAAATATGTCTCTTTTCAATAATTTTTAAAAGTTAAAAAAATTATAACTGTCACTAGAAATCAGTTTCCTATTGAAAATGCAAACAATTCCCTTTTTTAGTTGTATTTTCTACAGCAAAATGAATAATCAGAATGTAGCATTCCCAGCTGAACAGATGCACTTTACTCTCAGGGACTGATGTTTATAAAGTTTTTTAATCTTCAAAATAAATCATCGTAAGAGCTGAATAAAAGAAACAAAGAAACAAATAATATTCATTACACATATCCTTGAAATGACGTTAAACAAATGCTCATAACTAGCCAATAAACTGATAAATACGCATTTACAATACGCATTTCTCAAATTCACTGTACAGGCATAAAATATAAATGTAATTAACTTTATAGGGATAAGTCTAAATAATTTGAATTGCTATAAAACTAACAATGGCAATATTTAATGCAGATAAAGCATTTATGACCTTATAAATTACAATTAGACTCCAATATAAACAGCTTTAACGATTAATTAATTTTAGCTCAATTAGTGATGTTATTTTTAGAAAGATAAATCTAAAACACATAAAATGACCAAAATAAAGACCTTAATGGCTGTTAATGTCCCATTTGTAGAGCAAATTATAATAAAAATAAATGACATGCCTTTTCTAAAAAACTAACAAATAATATCGATAACACTGAAACTCAAAATCCTTTTATATGTGCTAACAACAATTAAATGCTAACCAAAAGACCGTTAACAACTATAAACTTTCACAATAAACAGTCTTTTTAAATTTCTCTGATTAACATATCAACAATACCTTGTGCCCTTCATCAGCCAGGAGCTAAAAGTCAGAAAAAACCTTTTTGACTGCCTTTATGATAATCTTAACAGAGAGCACTCCAAAGTCCTTTCCTTTTTAACGCTAAACACTTCACCTATAACTTCTTCAATGTGCACACTACGGTATGATTTAAGACAACAGCACCCTCAACTGGATGGAGGCAGAAGTGTCTGTAATTTAACAATTTAAACGTCATCTACACTCCCACCAAATCATGGGAGATTTGTATGACTTAAGGAGTATAAATTGCAAATGATTTAAAAATAGAAATGACCTTTAACTCAAAACTAATAATGCATGTATATACTATAGCAAAATGCAAAAAGGATACACTTTGTTGCTCCCATTGGTAGCTAGATAGCCTCTAGCAACAGGATCAGCTTCTGGACAGGACGTTCTATAACAGACATCTTGCAGAGACGACGACCATCCTTTCCTAGATTCCGGTCACCAAGACAGATCTTGACTCTTCTTACAAGCCCGTCTTTATCTGCAGTAGTCTCCATCACTCTGGCAAGCCGCCACTCATTTCTGGGCAAGTCATCTGCCTTTTCCATAACAATGTCTCCTACTTGAAGATTTCTCCTTGCTGTGTGCCAGCACTGCCTGGTAGCTATGTTGGATATATACTCCCTTCTCCAGCGACTCCAAAACTGCTTTGCAAGATATTGAACATGACGCCATCTTTTCCTTGCATAGATGTCTTCTCGAATGAATCTACCTGGAGGTGGTAATGCTGGAACAGACTTCATAGTAAGCAAGTTGTTAGGTGTAAGAGGCGCAAGACTGTTAGGATCGTTTAGATTTTCAACTGAGAGTGGTCTGCTGTTCACGATCGCCATAGCTTCATAAAAGAATGTGCGCAGTGAAGCGTCATCCAGTCTACCAGAAGAGAGTGAGAGTGTTGAACGAAGAACATTTCGCACTGTCCTGATTTGTCTCTCCCACACCCCTCCAGTATGTCTAGAATGTGGTGCATTTAGGACAAAATCACACTGTTTCTTGGCTAAGAACACAGTCAGGCGATCTGAATCAACCTCCTTGAGAGCATTTTTGAGTTCATTTTTGGCTCCTACAAAATTGGTGCCCTGATCACATTTGATTTGTCGCACTGCCCCCCGCAAGGCAATAAAACAGCGCAGGCCATTGATGAATGCATCTGTAGACATATCGTCTAGCATTTCAATGTGAATGGCTCTAGAGCTGAAACAGGTGAAGAGTAGGCCATATCTTTTATGATCCTTACGACCTTGTTTAGTGAAAAAGGGACCAAAGCAGTCCATCCCACAGTATGTGAAAGGTGGAGATGGATCTGTTCTTTCCGAAGGGAGGTTGGCCATTCTTTGTTCTTCCGTGGATCTCCTGAGCTTTCGACATGCCACACAGTGATGTATATAAGACGTGACAGCTCTGCTCATTCCTGGGATCCAGTAACCTTGCGACCTGATCTCATTAATAGTGAAACCCCTTCCTTGGTGTTTAACATTCTCATGACACTGCGCAATAATCAACTTTGTTATATGGTGATCTTTAGGAATGATCACAGGGTGTTTGAGTGTATTAGGTAGAGAAGCATCACAAAGCCTTCCTCCTACTCTGAGAACTCCTTCTTGATCTATCAAAGCATCAAGATGATACAGCTTGCTTCTAGGTGACAGCTGGGCCCCTTTGGTCAATAACTTGATGTCCTCCGAATAAACATTGCTTTGTAAATCCTTAATGATAATGCATTTAGCATTTACACGTTCAGTTACTGTACTCTGAGTGCTGGACTTGTCCCCTTTGGCTCGGCGAACAAGGCGTGCCACAGCTTGTACAGCTATAGACCATGATGATAGCCTTGACAAGCAGTCTGAGAGGCTGAATTCTGTTGTCTCTGCACTCAGTGTCTGAGCCTGTCTCACTTCAGGGTCTCCCGTTGTCAGTGCAGTATTAATATCTGTACCATAAGGTATATCCCTTTTCCATAAGAACTCTGGCCCTGTCAACCAATTAGATCTGAGAATCTCTGCAGCGCTCAAACCTCTTGATGCGTGGTCAGCCGGGTTTTCATTTGAAGAAACATATCCCCACTGTTGAGGAGTAGTGCTAAGATGTATTTTCTGCACTCTGTTCGCCTCAAATGTGTGAAAGCGGCGTGCCTCATTGTTAATGTACCCCAAAACCACTTGGGAGTCAGTCCAGAAGTGTTCTCCTATGTCCTTATACTCAAGCTCTTGTTTAAGCATATTGCTTATGACAACTGAGACAACAGCGGCTGTTAGTTCGAGCCTGGGAATAGTTTGGACCTTAATAGGAGCAACTCTGGATTTACCAATGACCAAAGCACAGTGAATGTTCCCTACATCATTTATGAATCTCAAGTAAGAACATTGGCCATAGCCACAGTTGCAGGCATCAGAGAAGTGGTGAAGTTCTCTTTTGATGACCTTTCCAAAGCTTGCAGGCACATAGCAGCGAGGTATATTAAACTTCTCTAAGTTCGCCAGATCATCCTTCCACTGCTCCCACCTTGGCTGCAATTCCTGAAGAAGAGGCTCATCCCAGCCTGTTCCATTTCTGCACATTTCCTGCAGCACCAATTTTCCTCTGAGCAGGAAAGGAGCATTCAGGCCTAGTGGATCATACAGTGATGCAACTGTAGATAGTATACCCCGGCGTGTTGCCGGTTGGTCTTTGAGGTCAACAGAAAACCTGAGTTTGTCAGAATCAATGTGCCAGTGGATCCCTAAAGCTCTTTCTAAGGGTGTATCTTCGAAGTTGAGGTCAAGAGCCTTAACTTCAGTGGATCGTTCAGATATTGGAATGCTATCCAGGACAACTCTATCATTTGTGATAAATTTGTGCAGTCTAAGACCACCTAAGGCACACAGTTGTCGGGCTTCTGTTGCTATCTGGATAGCTTCTTCTGTGCTAATTACACGGGTTACACCATCATCAACATAGAAGTCTGTTGTGATGAATTTTGAGCCAAGAGGATACAAATGTTCATTCTCCTTAGCAAGATGCTTTAGGCCATAGTTGGCACATCCAGGTGATGAGGTTGCACTGAAAAGATGGACCTTCATTCGGTATTCTTGTGGATATGAACCTAGTTCTCCCTTTTTCCACCATAAAAAGCGGAGGTAGTTTCGATCTGCTTCGTCCACATGAAATTGATGAAACATCATCTCAACATCACACATCAGGGCAATGGGATGTTGTCTAAACCTTACAAGAATACCCATC